CCACTCCGACTCTTTACTCTAGGTCTAACTTTAATTGGACCTACCATACTCCTCCACTTCACTCGGAGACCTCTGGCAAGTGGAGCGAGAGAGAAAAGAAGGTGAGGGGTACCCAGACAGGTTAGGAGAAAGGGCAGAATCGACTGGAGATTAGTGCACTTGAGTTCTGAATAAAGATGGGGATAGTGAGTGGAAATATTTTCGGCAATGTCTTTACCGTCGGTTTAGTTAGAAATTTCCCTTTCAACAGTGAGTTTGAAATTGTAATTCTCAAACGCATTCCGCCAAATCCACTTGCGCCTTACGGTTTCGGTATTGGATTTATCTTCCCTCAGTATCCAAGGCTACTGTGGATGCTACATCGCCTATAATGGTTTGGCAACAGTGTGAGTCGCTGTTCGTTGCATAATCATTCTTACCTGAATTGGTTCCGAAAGGCGATGCCCACGAAATGCGGCAATTCTTTATATACTGAAAATGTCAAGTGTCTACTTTTGGAAAAAAAAATATGACGCCTGTCTACTTGCTTGTCAATATCGTGGAGTCAAATAGTTTGAGAATATGACAAAATGGAGGTGGGATATCGTTGTATAAGCGATGTCTGGAAAAAGTTGGAGATATTTCCAGTCGGCAAATATATTCTTGAAGCAAATGTGGTAGAACCTTGCATGTATGTAGCCAAGTTATTTGATTTTAATGTTAGATTACGTAAGACATTACAACTTTGGGGTGTGTATGCCCGAAATATGGCTAGCTCAACCATTCGGTGGTTTGTTGCAGATGGAGTGGGACTCATTATGGTCAGTGATCGAGTGGCCTTCTAAATGTAGAATACCCTCAACCAAGTATCAGCCCTTAGAAAATATTTCAACTTGTCGCCCTTTTCATCAAAATGAGAAATAGCTTAATTTGGCAGTTGATGGGAATTGGTAAGACACTTTGTTTAAGTGGGGGGTGAAAATGAATTACGAGCGAAGAAGAGACAGCAAGATGTTTATCAAAGTGTCCTTTGTGCCCCCTTCTTTATCAAGACATAAAATTAGTGAATTCCAAAATGATAGGAAAATTTTGACTCCAGAGCTACCTCCCCCTATCCTCTCCTCCCCGGCTAGCACTTCTTTTCTTATTTTCTGTCCCACCTCCTCCGCGTGGGAAGAGAGGGACATAGTGGATACGGCACTACCTCTTCCCTTCCTCTGCCCAACTTGCAGGTCCTTCCTCAGCTACCCAAATGGCGACGTAATGTCTTTAAGACAATTTGGAGGCAGTAGATAGCAGATTGAAGTAGAGGCGACAGTTAGTATTCATCTTAATAATAGAAATTCAATCAGGCCAGAACTCCTAAAAGTAATTGAGCAGTTTCATTCAACACCCACCGTAATCAACACAAATCCATTTGATGGACTCAGCTACCACAAAGTAATCAGGTCAAATTATCCAGATAACACAACATCGTTCAGGTAGGGCAAGAGTAATTGGCATCGATTTCGAGGATGAAGCAAACGAAACTCCACACATTTGCTGCTTTGATCCATACAACCAAGAGCCTATCCAACATACCTTTGCATGAACATAGAAATAACACTGAAGTTTTAGGGATTTTGTAAGAAAGGTGTTACTAGCTCTAGCATTTTACCGACTGACAAGAAACGACTTTGAGGTCCTCCAGAACGCCCAGAAGTACCATCACACATAAGGCAAACAAGTGGGTAACAAAGACCGGAGAGGAAAATCGACCATTTTGCATTTGTGCGAAGCTCCAAACTAGGGGCTACCAGATATCCAAAACTAAAAGTACGCATGCACTAAAGTTGGTTGCTTTCAAAGTGAAAGGTTGAAAAAGGTGCTAACGTCCTCGTTTGATTTCGTACTAAGTCAACATTTATTTGTCGAGGATGGAGAGTACATGAAGCAGAGCTTGACAATTTTTCAATGCAATATTTTACATAAATCCTCCAACCTAATTTCTACAGTCAAACACACCGAAAACGATCAGATTTCGCTCCCAATTGGGGCTGGGAAAGCAATCTATGCATCAACTCAGTGATGCTGCAGCATTCACATACCTTGCGCCTTTGAGAAATAACCTAATCATCGGTGCCGCACAGAACGGTATGGAAATTACCTAACTGGCCAGATACAAATCACTTTTCGGGGTTTTGTAAACCGGACATTTGTGGAAAACAACCCCTCAAATATCGCCTAAGATATGTGCTTTTACTACCCTAATATCCCATTTATATTAGTAGGCTTGGGTCAACTGAGGCTACATTCACTTCTCTTCAAGATTATTTATTAGAGAATGCGGACAAGTACATTAAACAGAACTTGCAAATATCAAGGTCTGACCCCAGCCTGAAATCTGTTTAAACAGCAGCAATGCCAGCATTCGCAAGAAATAACTTTCTGCTAAGTAAACTAAAAGAAGATCGGACGCACATGTGTCTGAACAGGACTAAAGAGTGGATGGAGACCTCCAGTCATATTTCACAGGTCAAACCAGTTAGACACGTACAATTTACAAATAGATAAACATAACAAGGACACCGTATACACACGTTGACTCAAAATAACGACATGCTACGTACAGGTCAGAACTTGATTTAAGACGAGCAGAACGAGCTCTAATTCGACTTCTAATAAATCAAAGGTCCGAAAAAAGTTAGCTGGAATCCCACCTACCATAAACACCTGCAACAAGTACGAGGAAAACCGTCAAGAGCCACCTCCGCAAATAATTCATGTACGCACATGCAAATCCAAGTTAGTCCTCTCCAAGCTGGAGAAGCAGAACTTACGATCCCTGACATATTCATACAAAACAAAAGGTCCCAAAATGGAATGAATCTACGATATTGAGTGTTCAAATCTGTAGCATACTTTTTTATTAAAATTTATAATAACAATTATCTGGTTTTTTTAACCAAACGGCCAATAAGCACATTTTATAAAAAAATTGTGCGTTATGCGCCAACTCTACTAAGTGAAATGTGGCTACTTCTAACCCCTAAACACAAGGCTTATTTTTAAGTATAGGACAGAGAATTAGAGTAGTACCCTAAGTCAATAATGACTTCAATGGGCCACACCAGTATGAAGCATTATTTACAGCTAATATAGTTAACGATTGAAAGGGCAAGGTCTTAAACCGCAACTGTCCTAGGGACAATGATGAAGTATGCGACATGAAGGTCCTCTCGTCTGCAAACTGCTTTGTTCCAAACGCACAACTCAGTACTTAGCCGATACTTGTTTAACACATCATGATGCAGCACTAAAAAGGTACTCCACAAGTGATTTTTGAAGGTGAGGTTTCGCCTACAAACGCAAGAAAGAAGATTATACAATGGCATACTCAGCGACAACTTAAAGGAGAAGTAGAGAAGACTGTGCCTGAAAGACAAAAGGGCTACAGAATGCTTGTGCTATTTAAATGTACCTCTGGTGGAAAACTAGAGAAATTTGGACACACTTCGCAGTAGAATTTTTGAAAGGATTCCTAGAGGCAGCGAAGAGCTCCTCAATTGGACCTCCATAAATTTGTACTGATTTTTGTCGGCCCTCAAAATTACCCACCGAACTAAACTGTTCGTTTAAAGCGCATAATTGCCAGAGTAAAGGTGATAAACCAGGAACTAGCTGCATATTTATATCTAGCATTACTTGTAGTACATAAAAATGACGCCGATAAAAATTTGGGGGAATGAAAAGTGTTTTTTTTTCTATGTTGGCATTTTTCGCATATTTTATTAATTCAACGCTGACATTTTTACCAAATGAATGCAAATACACGTTCGCAATTGTTTTTTTGCAAATATTAGTCTACACGTTTAAAAGCATTTTGATATTTCAATTCATTTCTCAAGTGAATGACTTGCACAACGGTCGCCTTCATGCAGCCCTATAAACATGACTTGGCGCAAAAACAACCCAAGTGTCAGTGGACTTGGAATGTGACAGAGCACTGACAGGGTGAAGGCAACGAATCCACTAGTGCTGGTATGCATAATGTGATTAGCTAAAAAAGTAGTGTCAGTCTAGACTAGTACGCGAATGATACCAACCTCAAAAAGTAGAATTTAGCACTACTTACTTTTATAACCGGCTGTGACCATCTAATTTTAAGCTTACAAGAGAAGATTTACCGTTTTACTGGGCCAGGTAAATAGAAGACTAAAATTAATCCTACTAATGGACAATTCTGGCATTTAGGCAGGTTTGTGGGTAAATAAGCCACATGATTCTATTCAAAACGTTGAGGTAAAGGCATGGGGGAGGAGATTCAAGAAGACTTTGTCAGCGGAATTTATTCAATCATTTTCAAATAAGGCCGTTCTGAAGAGTGACATCTTTAAGCATTTATTCGTATCACGCTTGAAGTGTGTCGCCTTCAACCTAGTAGAAATCGTCATAGAGACACCGCTGACAGCTCCATCACAAGATTTTCCAGATGATTCACGCTTGTTAGCAGCGTTCCTAAAAACAGGGAATACGGATATATGCTGACAGTCATTTACTAAGATTCTGTTAAGGGTCGACTCGGGTTCTCTCATCCACAGCATATTCCCACGTACAGAAATGACAGAGTTACTGGCATTTCCCACAGTCCATGCTGCCCACCAGAAATGTAAGAACGAAGTCTTAAGTGCCCGCGTGACCTAGGAGACGATATAAAACGCTAGTCGAAGCATTATATTAAAGCACAAGCAAAGCATACAAATGAATACCTCCAAACACTTGGCACAGGTGCACTCGTCCACGCGTTGCACCAATCCCAATGGTTTCTTCAAGGTTGCTCAATGGCCTCTCAACGAACAATGCAAGTGTTGCCTTTCATTCGTTTTCACGCGCCTTATGTCAACCGTAAAAATCACCTTTCTTCAGCAACTGATGAAAGTGGTAAGGTATTCAGATGAGAGTGAAGGCTCATCTCTGAGCCAGAAACTTTGCGTCTTGTGTGAACAAAGCAAACTAATTGGTCTGCGAATCACTGTGAGTTGATGCAAAATTGGAGGAAGGGACAGGCTGCTGCTCGATCACATTCCCGTCCGACTTCACTAGATGACATGGCAAAGTAGCTCCTAAGTATCGTAAGAGAGATAAAGTGGAAGCTATCTAGCAAAAGCACGTTAAATGGAGTGTCATCGGTTTAATCAAGTAGTAGCCATGATTCCCAAATACATCAACTTACGGGCCTACATTCAATCCGCATTCATGCACCCCTGCATACATCCACCCATTCCGTGTTCATTTTATCAATCTCGCATTCATCCATCACCATTTATCCATTCACTTAGTCATCCATCCATCCTCTAATCCATCAATCTGACCTAGATCCATTCATCGTAAAGTCATTCATCCCTTATCCACTTCGTTTGCCTTTATGAATCAATTATTCATCTAACAAAAGCTGTATCCCTACCAATCACATCCCTCAAACTCTGCACTTATTCACGGTGCTTACCTGTGATAAACTATTCTGAATAATCTTTTACAAATTTCCAATATTCGGTTTAAAGTAATGGAGACAGACTGGTCAAGTCAATCCTCGAAATCATCCATGCAAATACCTTTGCTCTTTCATCCACATCACACTTGTTGCATCCTGCATCCAGCCACTTGGAAATCGCTCGAAATTTGGTTTCTTCACTCAAGACTTCTTGCCGTTTCTTCTCCAACAGGATCACAAAATATTCTGCTGCCGTCTGCACCAGTACCTCTTGTTGCAAACACAGGTTCCCAAAACGTTTCATCATCAATAAAATGCACAGTTCCACCAATTCATGAATCAACGTCACATTATCCAACGACCAAGCTTCTGCAACATTGTCTAGAAGGATTCTGAAGGCGGCCAGTTGCAACTCTCAAAAGAGCCTTCTATACCTCGTTCTGCAAAATTCCACACACTAGGAGACGATCGTGGAGGAGCCGAGAGTTGCGTAGCACTTCCTGCTGAGATTGTGATGCTACTTGTGTGTTCGTAGTTGATGACAGCGTCAATAATGCTGAAAGTATAGTGAAGGTGAGGATATATGCATGTATCCTTTTGAAAACTGCTTCCATTAGACTACTACTACACCCCATTGAGAGGCCAATGTTTTCAGCAAAAGTGAAAACGCGACTGCCACGTTCAGTCGGTGTGCCTTCACTCGTTTTCCATCCTCTGTCTAGAAGTCGAAGCATGAATTCTATGTCCATCAACCCACGGTGATTTGTAGGTCGATTAGTTTGCCCTGTTCACACAAGATGCAAAAATTGTGGCTCAAAGATGAGCTTTCACTCTCATCTGAATACCTCATTGTCTCCATCGGTTGCCGAAGAATTGTGACACGTGAGAATGAAAGCAAGACCACACATGCGTCGTGCGCTGAGAAGCCATTAAGCGACCTTGAAGAAACCGTTGGGATTGGTGCAACGCGTAGAAGATGAGTACACCTGTGCCAAGTGTTTGGAGGTATTCATTTGTGTGCTTTGCTTGTGCTTCAATGAAATGCCTCGACTGGCGTTTTATATCGCCTCCTAGGTCACTTAGGCACCTGAGGCTTAGTTCTTATACTTTTAATGGGCAGCATGAACTGCGGGTCATGCCAGTAGTCACATCACTTCTTTGCGTGGGTATGTGGTGTGAATTGGATAATCCGTGTTGACCCTTAACAGACTGTTTGTAAATGACACTCGGCAAATATTCGTACTCCCTGTTTTTAGAACGCTTCTAACAATCGTGAATACATCTGACAAATCTTGTGACGGAGCTGTCAGCGGTGCCTCCTTGACGATTTCCACACCATTTTCCTACTTGCCTTATGTATACAAGCAGTAGTTGATCCGTTGCTTTCACCCTGTCAGTACTTCTAACGTATTCCAAGTCCACCAACACTTGAGTTGTTATTGCGCCAAATCGTGAGTACAAAGCTCCACGAAGGTGACTGTTGTGCAAAGTCATTCACGTGGGAAATGCATTACAATATCAAAATTTTCCCAATTTTGTAGACAAATATATGCGAGAAATGAACTGTAAAGGTGTATTTTAACGTGTTTTACAATAAGAAGTCATCTTTTTATAAAAAGATACATTTACATGTCGATATGTAATACGATAGTGGTTTATCCCTCGGCATTGGTGAGGCGCCAGTTTTGTACTTTGATTTAGCGCCCTTGTACCTTGTTGAGTGGTCTGGCCTTTTGGGCCATGCTAGCAGCCCAGACACCTTCTCTGCGCTGAGTATATATTCTGCCCGAGTATTGTGTCTTCCTTCGTCTTCAGGGACTTTTGGGACGCTACAGATATGCCAATTAATAAAATGTACAACAAATGCAAACGCAGAAAATGACATATGATATTCAGTAAAATTTTGTTTGGGGTCAAAATTATGTACTATAAGTAATATTAGATATTAATTTGTAGCTATTTCCTAGTTTGTTTTCTTCACTCTAGCTCTCATAAGTTTTAAATGAACAGATTAATTCGTTGGGTTGCTTGGAGAGCTGACAAAAATCCGTACAAGTTTCTGCCGGTTCGGATGCAGGATTCCTCTCTACCTCTAGGAATCCTGACGTCGAATTTATTACGAAGTTCACACTAATTGCTCTCGTTTGCCCTCAGAGGCACATGTAAACAGCACAAGCATTCTGTAGCCCTTTTGTCTTTCAAGCACAGTCTTCTCTGCTTCCCCTTCAAGTTGTCGCTGTGTATGCCATTGTATGATATTCTTTCTTGCGTCTGTAAGCAAAACCTCACCTTTGAAAATCACTGGTGAGGTACCTTTTAGTGCTGCATCATGGTGCGCAAACAAGTATCGGCCGAATACTGTGTTTGAGTTTGACTCCTTACTCTTTCAAACGCTATGTTAGCTGTAAGTAGTGCTTCACACTTGTATGGTCTATTGCGGATTCATTATTGACCTGAGACACCAGATACTCCTAAGAAGCTTTGTATATGCAAAATAAAAATATTCACTTTTTGCCTACTGGAGTCAACAAAAAACTCTTTATTTCACACTTTACATTTTGGCTTTTTTGGCTAAAAACAAAATTGTTAGCAAAATAAACCCTACAATAACTGCTTTACTAATTAATGCAAAGAATAAAAAAGTCATAGTGCAATTTTTGTACACTTTGTATCAAAATCTTTTTAGTTTATAAGCGTTTTGCTTGAATTTGTCATGGCTTGCCCGCTTTGCTTGGGGGCGGCGCTCGTGGGCATGCATGAACACACCTGAATTGTTCGCAGCGATGGTTCTTGATGGTTTTGTTCGTACTTGCTGCTGGTGTTTATGACAGGTGGGATTTCTGACTTTTTCCAGACATTTGATTTGTTGGAAGTCGAATTATGGTTCGTTTTACTTCTCCTATATCAGTTCTGACCCGTAAGTAGCATGCCGTTATTTTGAATCATTGTTATATTTATCTATTCTTAACTTGTGCATGCCTAACCGCTACAACTTGTGAGAAATAACTAGAAGTCTTGGTCCATTTTTCAGCCCTTTTCAGACATGTGCATTCGATCTTTTCTTTAGTTCCCTTAGTGTAGGTGGCATTGCTGCTGTTCATGTAGGCTTCAAACTGCGTTCAGAGCTTGATATTAATAAGCTCACTTCAACGCACTTTTCCACATACTTTAATAAATAAGCTTAAAGAGAAGTGGAAATGGACAATTGAGCCTGAAGTTGCTAGCCTCATTTGGCTCAAGCCTACTTATGCAGGCTGTGCTCTTCACCTTTGTGCTTTTATCTCAGCCTTGTTATATTATTGGGTGCTTTACTTTTTGCATTGTGCACTTGCAATAAGTTGCGTAAAGTTATCCTTGACAATCACTTACATTATAAATGGGATATTGGGGTAGTGGACGCACATATCTTAAGTGATATTTGAAAGGGGGGTTGTTTTCCTTTCCTAAATATTAGCTATTAAACCTTACAGCATTTCAGGAATATGAGTATTTGAATGTGGTTTTAGTGGACTTTTTGCATGCCCCAGTAGCATCATTAAAAATTCCTTTTTTACCTTTTAGGCTTGATACGCGGTGTACGAAGGGGGAAGTGTGAATGTCGATCCATTTGGACTCCCTGCCACCTTTGCTACTGCTGTCGTAGCAGACTTTGCAATGGCGAAGGATGTTGTGGACATTTCTGATGAGTTTTTCTCATTTTACAGTGATTTACATCATTGCATTGCTTCTTTTTCCATCAGAAAATATTGGCCTTTCATTTAAACATTCACACCGCAGTGATTATTTTATTTGCTCTGAATTTTCACGCTCTCAAATAGTTTGGTTTAGTTAAGCCACAGATTTTCTTAACCCTACGTTTCGCTTAGATTGTAAACGCCTACCTAGGTAAGCAGCAATGCACGCCCAACGTTCATATCTAACCCCGTGCCACATGTGACACGGGGAGTAGGAAGTCAAGCATGCAACCTTTTTATGATATGTAGTCGTCGTTCTGTTTTGTTAGTTCATGAAATTCATGAGCTACCTTAAATTTATCCACAAATGTCCAGTTTACAAAACTCAGAAAGGTGGTTTGTATCTGACCAGTTAGTTATTTTCCATAACGTTCTGTGGACTTAGCACGAAATCAAAAGGGAACTTTAGCACCTTTATTCAACCCTTTACCTCGAAAAAAATTTATTTTAGTACCTCACACATGCGTGGCATGTGTTCTTTTAGTTTTGGAGAGTTGGTAGCACCTAGTTTATAGCTTTGCATAGATCCAAGATGTTTCTGGTCCTATGTGTAAGGGTTGTGGTTGTCTATTGTCCTCTTCGATCTTGATAATCCACGTGTTTGCTCCATGTGTGATGATACTCCTACGAGTTTTGGAGGATGTCAAAATCGTTTCTGGCCAGTCGTTAAAATGTCAGTGGTAGTAACTCCTGCCTTACAAAATCTCCAAAATGTCAACGCTATTTCTGTATCCCTGAAAAAGCATGTTGGATAGGCTCTTGGTTGTATGTGGAGTTTCGTTAACTTCATCCTCAAAGTCGGTGCCAATTATTCTTGTCCCACCTAAGCGCTGTTGTGTTAGCTGCGTAATTTGACCTGATTACCTTGTGCTAGCTGACTCTATCATGAGGATTTGTGTTAATTACGGTTAATGTTAACTACACCTACTAATTTGCTTTTGGGGATTCTGGCCTGGGTGAATATCTGCTATTAAGATGAATAATAACTGTCGCCTCTGCTTCAACCTGCCATCTGTTGCCTTCAAATTAGTTGCTAGAGTAGTCGTCACTGTCAATATTATTCACTTGCCCTCCTATGAGGTCAGGGCAATTTTATATAAGTCGCTTTGGAAATGCGACGATCCCAGTTTTGTTTCCTGTCTATTGTTTGACTCGTCTTGAATACCAATTGTGTGGGCGTCTATTATTTGGATCTATGTCAAGTCAAATGAAGGAATGGTAACCCTCTGATATCCCCAAAATTGTTCTTTTCTCTGCCGGCAGTTTAAGCAGGAGCTGGTCCATGTTTAATGATCTACTTGACTAATTTTTGTTATGTTGAAAGTGTGAATGTTTATTTTTTCCACATTTTGATGATGTTTGAGATGCACTGTAGTCCCTTTGTTTGAATTAGCCTCAGTGATTTTTTTTCTTATCGGTTTGATTGCGTACTCCATAACCTATCCTGTGCCTTGGAGATAGGGTGTCTTGCGAGAATGGTTGTTCGTCTTTGGCACAAATTGAAAGTCTCTAGTCCTTTTGAGCTATGCATTAGTTGTGCCGTGAATTAACTCCCGTTCCACTTGCATCTGCTGCGGACTGCTTATTTTAGCCCTTAGCCTCTGGCACCTTTAATCACATATTTTTCACTTGCAGGTCAGTGGAATAAGTAATTAGTCTTTCCCCTTAGTACATACATCAGGTGTTTTCACACAAAGTGGTCTATTTGACCTTACTAGGGGTGGCTACAGGAGTAATCGTTGTGGATGTCGACCCATACAAATGTAATATGAGATATGCTGCCTTCTACTACAGTTGCCAGCATTAGCAGCAATGATGCCATGCGTAAGTTGTGGTGCCTCATTTTGTACCGTGCACATGAATTTATCAAGAATTCAGATGATGCTCCTAATAAAGATGGCAGGCAACGAAGGCATCAAATTCGATCCAGTGGATATCTACTGCAGGCACAGCCCGGCAATGTGACACGTAATCTTGCACCGGAGCATCATTTAAATGATGTCGACGTCTTGATGACGATTGTAAAAGACGAATTTTTATTGGCATTTCTGGTAGTGGTGGTGTGAACATACACTTTGCACGATCAGCGCATAAATCAACCATTGGTGGAACTGCACAAGATTAGCACAGTGCATTCGCTCATGAATGCGGAAATCCTTGATTTGTGAAAAGTTACCACAAATGCTACATTCAAATGATGCAGCCACACTGACGGGTCTCTTCGTGTTTCAGGCTATTAGATCATAGGACACGTGGCTAGGTATAGACAAGAGAATGTTTTGTCTTCTGCCTTTTGTTGAACTTAACTTTCCACTTTCACTATTGCTATTTTAACACTATTTTTTGCCTAAGCCTGCGAGTCACACATATGTGACGCCTATGTTTTAAGAATGAAGGGGAATGCACCAGTGGTCATACATGTCGTGACAGTAGAACACAGTGGTTTGTGACTACTTTCTTTCTATCGTTACACTCAATTATTTACTCGACGGTGGTCGTAGGGATAAAAGTTTTAGCTTGATGCCTCGTACGCAGTTGTAGCGACTCTCTCTTATGGGGTACGATAGTCGGATCTCTCTTCGGCACCTTTTCGGTGATATCGGGCTTTGGATCATTGGCCTAATTCCGTTGTCTCCTGCGTCGTCGCAAGCAATCACCATCGGTAGTTGACGTGGTGCACGGTGTTCTGTTGCCACCGCCGTCACTACCACAAAATTTAGCTAACGCAGGGGTCTACGCGCCTGCCCTGGAATTGCATGTACCCACCTACCCGGAGTCCGTATCAGAGCCTTGAGTGTCGTCCCCAGTGTTTAGTGCAGTCATTTCCACTTTTTGCAACAATTCTCAAACCAGAATCGATGACATGGTGAATTTTCGACTTTGAACACTACCCGGTAGTTATGGTACATTCCGTAAGCCTGTAACATGAAGCACTGGAATGGTCGGTCTTTTTCTTCTGGCAGCGATCCCAAGAGGAACAGCGCAAGACTGCTTAAACTTCTCACCCTCTCCATTCCTGTTCTCTATCTCTCCCTTTCCAAGCTGTGATGATGTCTCAGTGATTTTGTGCCGCTAATTTTTTACGTTGGTCCATAATTTTGTGAACATTTACTAGCTTCTATTCGAAATGCAAAGAAATATGTAAGGGTAAGCAGATTCGTAGTAACCCAAATTGATTTTATATTAAAAAGGGTTTTATTGAGGCTCGGGTACAAAAACGCTCCTAAATACAATTTGATATAATCTGTACTTAGGTTTTGCTCGATCTGCCGCTCAATAGCTGATATAAGCAGCCTTCAGATGTAATAACCATCAGGGTCAGATTTAAAGCTATCTTAAGGGTTACTAATACTTGGGAATGGTGGTGAGTGTACAGCCGACAAAAAAAAGCTGTGAGCACTGAGAAACAAAATTTTTACAGCCTAAAAACATTCCACTAGTCTCGGAACATAGCTTAGAACTGAAATGCACAAATCAGCAGAACAGTGCAATGGAGGTGACAAGCAGGATTGCATTAAGTAAAAATACCAACCGATATCTTAAGGCTTCTGAGCTCTATACTATTTTTGCATTGCTACCTACCCTATAAGGGTTAATATTTAACACACAAACTATGTTGTTTTGTGAAGTCAAATCTAGAAGGAGTAAGGCTACTTACGAATAAATCACTTGGCAATGCATGTTACAGTGATTAAGCATGTTTTAAGTAAGATCTCTAAGAAAGGCGATTAGCTTACGACATGCAATCATGTGAACCACTGACGTGCTGTAAGCAGTTCAATTAGTGCATCCCTACAAGCTAACACAAGTAAATTAATATTATATGCATTATCTTATACATATTTACATACATTTGTGGCAAACTACTTTCGGTTACTGCGAATCACGAAAGCGATGATAGAGGGCGGTAAGTGTGAATGCCGATCTGAAAGTACATGAGCACGTGCATCACGTGGATTGGATGGAAGTGGTGAGTATAGTATAAAAGGTGACACACCTCAGCCCACAAGTCAGTACCAAGTGGAGCAGATAGACTGCAAAGAAAATGGGATTCGGGTGTTGGCCACAATGTGAGAAGCCGTGTGCATGGTCGGCTGTGCTCGTGCCGCAATAAGAGAAGCCGTGCGCTTGGCCATCTGTGGTGCCGCAATGTGGCAAGTCGTGGGGTTGGCCATCTGTGCTGGTGCCGCAATGTGGCCAGTGGTGGGGATGGCCGTCTCTGTGGTAGACGGAAACCAAGACTCTCTTTGTGCTTGCACTGAGTTTGTGAAGAAGTCTCCAACTCTCTTGGATTTGGAGGAGCTAGCTGACGGTGTGCAAGCTCGCCTCTAGTACTTTCCTTCTTCTAACGCGAAATAAATGCTATTAATTCTAATTGTTTTGAGCATTTACTAAGTGAGTGTCTAAGCATCGCAGTAGAAATATGGAAGTTGCTAGATGATATTTTGGCAAGTCGCATCGCGTTGCACTTGGACGATTATTTGCAATATCTCTGGATGACATTCTCTACTGAAACTTAAGTCTGCTGGGGTAATTTCTCAATAATTCCTTCAAGAATATCCAACTTT